GAGATGTCAGGATAGTTCAGTGAACTGGAGTACATGGCTGTGAAGCCAGGGATTGGGAGTTTGATTCTCTACTATGCCTCCTGGGAAAACAGCCAGATTATGTAGCCTGTGCAAACTATACTGGTAAAGAGTGCTGCCAGAAGTGGGGGATGGTAAACTACTGCTAAGTACTTTGTACCTAGGAAACTTTCAAATACTATCTCTATGAGTTGAAATGGACTTGATGGCACATAGGTATTACAGTGGGCCCTCAACTTACAAACGGCCCTAGTTACACCCTACTTGCGAACGCGGAACAGGTTACGAACCCAAAAGGCAGGGAGAAAGGGTGGGAAATTCGAATTTCCTGCCCTTCCTCCCTGCCTTTGGAGCTTTCAAAAGGCTTTCTCCGACATCGGAAGAAACCTTCTGAAACCTCCGAAGCCAAAAAGGCAGGGAGAAAGCGCAGTGGTTCGAACTTCCCGCGCTTTCTCCCTGCCTTTTTGGCTTCGGAAGCAAGCCGGGCAGCTGCGGAGAAATCGGCTCCCTCCTTTCACCTGATGCTGAGTCCCCTTCGCGCTGGGCTGAGCTCAGCTGACGTGAAGGGGACTCAGCATTGGGTGAAAGGAGGGAGCTGATTTCTCCCCGGCAGCCTGGCTTGCTTTTCCAAACGAGAAGCAAGCTCGGTGGCCAGGGAGTAATCGGATCCATCCTTTCACCCAATGCTGAGTCCCCTTCACGTCAGCTGAGCTCAGCCCAGCGCGAAGGGGACTCAGCATCAGGTGAAAGGAGGGAGCCGATTTCTCCGCAGCTGCCCGGCTTGCTTCCGAAGCCAAATGGGAGACCTCCCTTGGGATCCTCGCCGCCGCGATCGGTGCCTTCAGAGGTTTCGAATGGCTTTCCCCGACATCGGAAGAAGCCCTTTGAAAGCTCCAAAGGCAGCAGAGCCAGCGGGAGCGCCGGGAGGCTAGAGCAGGCCAGGCACCTGGTCACTCGCCCTCGGCCGCGCGGAGCCAGCGGAGCGCCGAAGGCTTCGGACTGGTAAGTCCTTTTTTTTAAAAAAAAATTGTGTGGGTTTTGGAGGGTGGGTTTGGACTGGGAGGGTTATGTTTCTGTGGTTTGTGTATGTGTGTGTGTGTGTTTTGCAGTCCCAACGTGGGACTTGCTCTTTTTATTTTTATTTTTGTATTATTATTATTATTTTTTTTGAAATGCTGGAACGGATTAATTCCGTTCCCATGCATTTCAATGGGAAATGGTAGGTCGACTTACTAACTTTCCGAGGTACGAACGTCCTCCCAGAACGGATTATGTTCGTAAGTCGAAGGCCCACTGTATTATTAATGTTATATTGAGCTGCATTAGAGTAGTTAGGTTAGTATTTCCAGTTTTCATAGGAAATCTCTAATGATACATGAATTTTAACACAAAAATCACAAAAGAATGTACTGTATTGCACTGGAAATTACTATGGAAATGGCATGTTGTCAAACAGTGGGCCTGAGCTATGTCTACAGTAGCCTGTTTGCCTCCTAGAAGTTATCAGGTGCCAACCATATGTGGGACATCCTCTGAAAGTTCCTAGTTTTCTATGAGATCCATTTGGTTTCAGTTATTTGTCTCTAGGTACCTGAAGTCCAGCCAAAGCCTGGATTGTGAAGTATTGAGTTATTAACCAGCTGTGCTTGCGTGCAGCAGTAATTCCAGAATATCTTGTCATATTATTCAATGGCTGCCTTTTCACTAACCATGCATATCCAAGTTTTTATTTTTTTTATAAGTTGTATGTCCGTCATGGTTGTGAAAGACAGCAGTATATCATATATATTTGAATTGAAAATGCCTTGCAAACTACTTTAGAATGCATGAAACACCGTAATTTAGGAGACTGTCTGAAGATATTTATTGGTGGCAAACATCCTTTGAGATGAATGCTGTTTGAACATTTAAATCTGAGAATAATTGGATGAAACTCCTAATTTCCTGTTACTTTTAATGATGTTTGTGCTGAATAAGTTTGCTGCTTTACAACTCAGGACAATTTTTTAAAAGAGACATATCCCTATTAGTCCTAGAAGTAAATAAATCTTAGAATTCATGCCTAGGGGATATTTCTATTTTTCTTCAGTGCTTAAATGTCATACTAAATGTTCAAGCAAACTCTCATGATAAAGGAGCTTCAATGAGACTACATGTACAGTTGATACAGATTTAACTGTTGTCTCTGTATGCCATACAGAACTGTGAGGAATGAGAGAGAGAACTGACAACATATAGAAATGATATATTTTTGAGGTCATAAGTGCTGAGTAAGTGTATCTAGTCCCCAAATAAAGCCTTGTACAGCTATTCGTGTTTTAACTTCAAACAGGGTGAGAAATATTAGCTACACAACTGCCTTGATACTTGCCTGCAGACTGTCCTCTTATACAAATGATGTTGAATTGGCTTTAGGAACAGGGAATTCATGTGTTCTAATACTCAGCAGAGAAAAATCAGTGTTACAGTTTCATAAATGGGAGCTTGGTGAAAGCGACTGTATAGCAAGCTGAACGATCAAGCCATTTTCTTGAATGCAATATCCTGCCAAGGGAAATATGAAATGTTAATACTCTTTCTCCCACAAAGAAAACTTTCACGACTCAGTGTTATGTGTCCTTTATTGGCTGTGGCAGTGGTGGTGGGAGATATATGTGTTCAGCACTGCAATTATTTCATACTTCCTTACACTATATTGGTTTGGAATCTCTCCCCAAAATAGGACTTTTTTAGTACAAGTGGTCATTATAAGATTCAGGTCTTGGGTACAGCCCAACATTATCTTGTAGGCAAAAGACAGGTGTATTGAAGCCCTATTATTTCAGTTACATACAGTATGTACCAAATCCTGATGCTAAAATACTTTGGGAAGATCTGAGAAATTATGTTTGAGAACCAAATGGGAAGCCATGCAGGTTGTTGTAAATGTGAGACCTAAGATCTTACCAACAGTATTACAGAACCTAACAGTGTAGAGCAGATAAAAAGAATCTAGATATAGAATAATTGTATGACTTCACATAGTAATAATAATTGTGTGCTGTCAAGTCAGTTCTGACTTACAGTGAATCTTTCCAGGATTTTCTAGGTCACAAATACTCAGAAGTACTGTAGTAGGTTGCCATTCCCTTCTTCTGGGAGTGCCCTGGGACTGTACAGCTTGCCCAAGGCTACATAGACTGTACTCTTCTGGGATGCACATGGGGAATTGGACTCCCAATCGCTGACTTCACAGCCAGATCCCTAACTCAGGGCTTGGCTACACAGTTTAATTAAATCGGGAGCAGGTTTGGTTTTTTTTTTTTAGAATTGATATAATGTCATGTGGTTTCTGTGATGGTGTGTGCATCTTCATGAAAACCGCACCCCCATGTCTTGTCTCTATGTTGCAAGTAAACAGGGAGGGAGAGTGCCGCCCAGCTTTTCTCAGCTGTAGGGGACGATGGGTAGGTCACTCTGAAGACCAGCCACCCCATCTTCTCCAACTGCCGGGAACTCTGTGGAGCCAAGAGGGAGGGTGCAGTCCATGTTCCAGTAAGGGGAAGTTTCTGGGAAGTGACTGGGAGAGTAAGAATCATGAATTTTAGTGCAGCTGTGAGAGTGACAGCAGCAGTAGCAGCAGCCTGTCCCCAGACTCCTCATATTTTTAATATTTAATTTTTAAAATATGCTTTGAACTGACATAGCACTAGATATGGAAATTTTTTAATGAAGTGGATTTTTTTAAAGGAAGAGTTCAGACTGCAAGGTGTCCTGCAGCCCCAAAGGAAGCTTTCACTCAGCATCCGTTTCAGCAAAAAACAAAACAAAAGACAGACTCCCACAGACACTATTCCTGCAAAGTAAATGCCAAAACAATTCAAAATAAATCACATTTATAATTGAATTAAAATAAATCCGCATTCAAACAAAAGAAAATAGCTGCACATCGTATAGATATTTTAATATCAATTTCAAGTATGCTAAACCCGATGCAAAACCAGAAGCATTATGATGTGTAAATGAGCCCTCCGCTTAGCTATCCAGCCAGATTATAACTTTATACAGAACAGAAACTATGTGGAATCTTTCTTTAAAAAGGAAGCTGCTAAGTTGTGACTGGCCTCCTGCTAATGCCTTCCACGTTGGTTTAATTATTCCAAATGTTTTGTAGCAATTTCTTGGTCCTTTTGAAAGTTGCTCCTATTGAAGATTTGTTTACAGGATTTCCATGAGGGATTATATCTACCTTTCTTCCATATGTTAAATATTAGAAAATCCAATGTGAGAGAGTACAGTACTAGGAATTCCCTGACAAAGCACTAACATTTGGGTCAGACAAAGTTGGAGCCTTTGTTGTTTATATTTATGAGAACAATGCTTTGGTATTTAAAGGCTCCCAGGCATTAGTTTTCATAACACTGTCCCCATCCATGCGTTGCTGGTACAATTTACTACTAACACTGTCTAATCCCTTGCCATCTCAACAAATATGCAGTTTATCTTATCTAAATATTATGTTTGAAGGAGTCTGCAATAGGAAATATACATTTGTATCTCTTTTTAAATTATAGTTCAGCTTGAAAATTATGAATACACAGGAGCATTTCATAGAGTGGGAGGTCAACAAAACAAGTGATTTGTCTCAGACAACTCCAAGTGGCAAGAATTTTATACTGGAAGCTACTTTTAAAGAATCAGTTGCCATATAGAATTTCCTCTACAATATTGCATTTCTGCAATTTGCAGATTAGAATGGGACATATTTCCAAATATTCAAATAGAGTCCTGATATCACAAGACTGCAATATGCATATTTATACCTTTGCAATTTCTCTGAACAATCATTAATGTACTTAAGCTGAAAGGCTTTAAAACCAAGCACTTCATGTTTTATATACAGGAGCCCACAGATACAAAGGTTGGCCATTTCTGTGATCCTGCCACAGTTACCTTGTTCTTTTGCAACTCAAAGTAACAATGCTATTTCTTTTCAATTTCAGCTCCGATTGGGTAGAGATCATTGAGCCTCGTTCTCGTGAGCGAATGTATGTCAATTTGACAACTGGAGAATGTGGCTGGGATCCACCACCCAACCTCAGAGTTCGTCAGTCTGATGAAAACCAGTGGTGGGAGCTTTTCGACCAAAACAACAACCGCTTTTACTACTATAATGCCATCACGCAGCAGACAGTATGGCATAGGCCGCAGGGCTGTGATATCGTGCCACTTGCTCAGCTCCAAGCCATGAAACGCAATTCCCAGTCTGACTTCAGGACATCCCAACACAGGGGCAGCACAAGCAGTGATGGACGAAACACTCCCATCCAAATGGCTCTTGTACAGGAAATGGAGAAGAGTAAAGAGGACATCAATGTGGAGAAGAGGTTAGAGACTGGAAGGTAACTTTATTCATTTAAATTCTGACTTTGTCTCAAGATACAGTAGTTTACAACAAGCTTAAAGACAGGCACAGATAAAAGTAGTTAAGAGCTTATAGAAATAAAACAAAAAGTTGCGATACTAAAAACTCATTTAAACAGAAGATTTTTTTCAGTGAAAAAACAATGTAAATATAATTGAAAATAAAGTGTGTTGCCAGTCCATTAAAAACACCCTTCTCAGCAACCAGACAGTTACTGAAATATGTTGCAAATATAAGAAGTAGTTGCCTAGATAAACAGTTTTAAAGATTTGAAGGTTATGGCTTGATACAGGGAAGAACCTTGCTAGAGGTGAGAATTCTGTTCTTGATAAGATTAGCATGGCTGTGTGTGGGGAAATGTGGAGCTGTAAATTGTGTGGAGTGAAATGTCACGTACAGTATATTTATTCAAAAGTAACCGCACTCTATATACTGGTGCTGTCTCCTACTTTAATGAGTGTAGGATTACAGATGTAAGCTCTGTCATAAGCAGGTAGTCTCTGTTTTTACACATATTTATACCTGTGAAATATATTTAAAACAAATACTAAATTTCAGCAAAATTTCCTAAGCCTTAGAGCAGTACAACAATGGGACCAATTACCTAGGGAGCTGTTGAGCCATTCAAGAGAAAATCTAACCATCTGTAAGATATTCTTTGATTTGGATTCCTACATTGAGCAGGGGGTTGGAACCGATGGCCTTATAGACCCCTTCCAACTCCATTATTTTATGATTTTATGCTTACAACGCACCTTTTAAAAATTAATATGTTCAAAAATTCATTGGACAGATACAGAAACTATCATGAAAGATTCTGAAAATACCTCCGGGTCAGTTAATGGCACAGCTATTGTGTTATTGCTGATGATTTTTTAATATTTAATTTGTCTCCTCCTCTCCTGTTGGTTTTTTGCAAACACAAATGGCACTTGGACATTTTTTAGCTTTTTTCTCCCCATTTTCCTTGGCTTTGTTGTTGTTTAAAGGTCTTAAATGTGAATCTTACCCGTGTTTCTCTCTAGATAGGGTTAGTTGAACTGTAAATAAATTGGATTAGGACTGATTCAGACATAATAACTACATTGTGTTTTGTTTCTACCATGTGACATCCTGGAATACAATCCCAAGCATCCTTCCAAGTAATCCATATTTTTATAGTAACAAATTGCTGCATTCCACAAGACAAGCTGTATGAGTAATTACTTGTACTGTACATAATTTTGCCCTAAGTTCACTAGAGAGAGCATTGCGAACATGTGTGGAACAACCATAGATATGGAGAGATGTTATAGGTGACATGGTTTCCTGATTTTCAGCAATGAATCATCAGTTGAAGGATACAGTTCATTTCACTTTGTCAGTAGCATTTCATGCTTACCGGCATAATAGCCTAAGTCCAATTCCTAGTCCCGACGAGAGTAGACCCATCTAATCAATTAGTGAATGATAGGTTAACATGTAGGTTTCATTGATTTGGTGTGTCTACTCTAACTGGGGCTAGCAATTGGATCTAGGACAAAGCCTTTGAGCTTGTTCTCTTTCCTGTTCTGTTGGTTTGACGTAATTTTAACACTCTGAAAAGTTTGATGGCATTCTTTAAGCAGGGCTCCCAGCAAAATCTTCAGCTTCAGTTTACACTTGTCAGCTCCATTCTTTCTTTTAGCCTTTTGGATAAGTATTGTATGAGAGGCACAAAGAACAGTGCTGAAAGTCATGGTGCTTGAAGATGTCAGCAACCTGCTAAGGAAACAACAACTGTATTATGGTTGGTTTAGGAAGCTTACACTTTTCTTTTCCCAAGATGTCAGACCAAAGTAGTGGAATTTATGTCTTTCATGCTGCTTTCCCACTGCTGCTATGTCTTCTATAGCAATTTGACAGCATTGTATAAGACACGATTCTTGTTTGTGGTTGAGGGTGTTTCTCGACACTTTTCTGCCCATGGGACAGTGCCGAAAGTATGTCAGTTTTAGAAAATAAACATCTTAACATTGCCTTTTCCTCACTGTCACAATTTCCAACTCTAATATAGAAGATGCAGACAGCAAAATAGTTGCTTCAAATTTAATTATAAATCCAGCATAGATTTCAATACATATAATATACAGCTCCTTTACAGTTGGGCACACACATTTCAAGTGAATGTGTTGGTGCATGCTAGCCTTTGAGAGGCAGAGAGGACTGAAATATGCCTCCCTAGACATTCCAAGACATTTGCTGCCTTTTATCTGTTTGTAAAAACTTTCTAAACAAAATAATTCCAAAGGCTGTGAACACAGTTTGCATGACCCCTTTCCCTCTAAGTGTGTGTGTGCATGCATGCACACATGCACACACACATGTGCATTCACTGTCGTTCAGTTCCATGTTCGTCTGCAAGTGTGATGCAACATCTGGCATTCCTACCTGATGTACATTATCCACTTGTAGCCTCCTGACATGCTACGATAGTAATAACTTTGAGAAATCCCCATTCCCTCTGCACGCCGACGTGCTGTAAATGATAAGTATTATCTGCTGTAAACATTAAAATGCCTCTCTTGGAAAAAGTTGTGCTTTTTGTTTCTATTTTGGTGGGACTCAGGTTCTTTGGTAGAATGATTGGTGGACATTAGATACTGGAGGTTAAGGACAATAGCTTGGTATAATCTACTGTGTTCTAGTACTTTGAGATATGGTTATAAATGCAATGTGTGCCATAGAAACGAACGGGGTTAGTGTTTTGTTTTGTTTTTGAAAGCTTTTTTTGCATCAAGTTGTGCTAAGTGAAAAGGCTGCTGTAATATGCTTGCAACCACTTTAACTAATGCCTTATGCAGACATCTGTACAGTGGTGCCCCGCAAGACAGGCGCTCCGTTTGACGATGAAATCACTTGACTTTGACGTTTCTGCGATCGCAAAAGCGATTGCAAAACGATGTTCCCTATGGGGGAATTTCGCTTTGCGATGATCGGTTCCCTGCTTCGGGAACCAATCATCGCAAAGCGATGATTTTTTAACAGCTGATTAGCGGTTTCAAAATGGCCGCTGGGTAAACAAAATGGCACCAGCTGTGTTTTCGCATGGATTCCTCGCTGCACAGGCAGCGAAAATGGCTGTGCTATGGAGGATCTTCACTGGACTGTGAGTTTCAAGCCCCTAGGAACGCATTAATCTGGTTTTAATGCGTTTCTATGGGCTTTTTAAAATTGCATTACGACATTTTCGTTCTACAGCGATTTCGCTGGAACGAATTAACGTCGTAATGTGAGGCACCACTGTACTTTGGTTTGGATCATGACATATACCGCCCCATTAGTGCACACACTATTCTGGGTGGTTGACAGAGGTTAAAACAAATAATATATTAAACAACTAGTTAACCATCAACGACAAACTTTAAGAGGCATAAATTATAAAAGTGAAACTTTGAATGCGAGGCAAAATAAACAACTATCAAACAGTAGAAACAAAAGGGGAAAGAAAAAAAAAGCCTCAGGCAGGGTTGCCAAAAAAGGCCTCTTTATAGAACAATGTTTTAAAGTGCCTTTTAAATATAGGGAGGGAAGGAGCCAGGTGCAGCTCTACTGGGAGTTGGTTCCACAGCAAAGAAGGTCCTACTTCTGGTAGACGATTTCTTGTCCTCCCTTACAGTGGCTACCTGGAGACGCATGGCCTGGGAGGACCTCATGGAGCAGGTAGATTACCTTTGGGAAAGACGTTCCAAAAGCTAGTAAATAGAAAGATGAGAAAGATATATTTTGTTTCTTCTTCTGTCTTTCTTCTGCAATCCCTGATAGAGATGGGCACAAACTGCTGGTTTTGTGGTTTGTGCCAGTTTGGATGATGGCTGAACAGAGACAGCACCCAGAGGAGGCAGAACAGGGAAGCCAAGGTGCCTCCAAGTGATCAGTGCCCATCTCTGCCTGTGAAACCAAGTCTGCAGGTGCTGGTTGCAACCCTTCTTTAGCAAGGAGTGTCAGCTGTAGCAAAGGAGCTTCATTGTGACATCCTTGATGCTGGGGAGAGTCAGCAGTCCCATTGCTAGAGACAGGATGGAAGTAATCTGTGCAATGTATGTTAAGAGAAGTCTTCCGCAGAAACAAGAAAAGCTCTTTTACTTATTCCTGAATAAATCCTTTCAGCAGTGACAGAGGTGTCCCTCCGTAGTTTAATGGATTCTGTTGGGTGATTGGGAGTCCAGGAATGGGATAACATTAACAGTTTAAAAGAAGACCTTCTTCGTGATTCATGTCTGTGCACTTTTTAAAATGAACATTTGTTGGTAGCATAGATTTTTGGGTTGTGTGTTTATTTTGGATTGCTTACTTTTTCACATAGGTTTTCCTGTGTATTTTAGGGTAGGTGGAGTAAGTCTTTCCACTGGACCAGTTACAACTTTATTCTTAATACCTATTTTAATCATTAAGGAATGATGTGCTGCAGTGCATTCTGACCTAGAGAATCATATTCATTTAGTCATCAGAACAGTAGCTTCTGCACTAGCCAGATCCTGAATCTATTTGTAGTTCTTTCTCCCCTCTTTGGGCAGTAGGGAAGACTCTAGAACACAGAGTCATAAATCATTATTTGCCAGGAGCCAGACAAGCCTGCAGCATATTTTTATGAGGATTTTAATTGTAAGCATCTGGGGAGCCAGTCTTGTTTGAAAATAGGAATTTTTAAAAAAATAATGTCAAAAGCAGATCACAACTTTTATTTGTTTATGTCAGAGGCACCACAGTACAATTAATAAATATATTAGATAATTTTTGCCCAATAACAGGCAACATCAAGAGCATTTGGGGCAGCCAGCATCGAGTCTTCCATAGTACATGTTGAGGGGCATAGAGTACACTGACATAATTGTTAATTTGCCTGCTCTTCTGTTCTCTCACAAAGGACTGTGTCATTGTGAAAACCCAATTTTTTTTAGTTTGATTTTAGTTCTGCCAACTGAAACCCATAGCTATTATGTGACTTCCAAGTAACCC